TATATTTATAGTATAAAGGGCCCCAAACCCCTATTCTAATTCTTAAGGCCCCTAGATTAGATCCCTATAAGGGTGACAGTCGTAAGGGTAACTATGATAGAATCGCTTCTTATAACATTATAGGGGTTGCGACAAAAAAGAATTACTAAACTAACCGTCACTATAACATAGGGGTTACTAGAGGGGGTGCATAAGGGTGAGGTTTAGGGTTTTGGGTTGAGGTCTCATGTAGATAGCCGTCTGTGGAGTGTTGGTAAGAGGGGCGTTCGGAGGTGTGATTGTGTGCTGCAATTCGGTTCGGGACAGGGGAGGTGGGAGGAAGCGTTGGATAGGTTCGCGGCGGTCCAGGTGTTCTGCAGGTTAACAGCCGCAAGGTAAGGGAGTCTCAACAAGAAGTGAGCTCTGCACCCCGCAGCCCCACACCCTCGCTAGACCAACTCAACACGGAGGATCTAAATTTAAGCCCTAAACCCTACCCCCTAAAGTCCAACTCATTAAAAAAACCCTATGCTCTAGATCCACAAATCCCTAAACCAAGAAGCTTCAAATGTTTGGCTACGGAGTTGCTCTAGACTAATATAGGAACCTCAATAATTACCTATACTATTTTTGGGTGTTCCTTATTATAGTTATAGTATAAAGGGCCTCAGAACCCTATCCTACTCATTAAGGCCCCTATATTGGGGTTATTGGGGTACCCTAAACCCTGAACCCTATCTTGGGGTCATCGGGGTACCTCCTTGGATTTTGTAGGCCCCCTGATGTGAATGACCTCCCATCTTAGGGCTCAAGGCTTGGAACCTATTGTTTTGACGTTCGTGCCTTTGTATTAATATATTTATAAATCAATCAATCCATAAATAAATGAATAAACATGTATATGTATATATATATATATATGTATTTAAGATTCTACATATATGTAGAGAGAGAGAGAGTTGTATGTTATATATATATATATAAAGATTGAAAACATGTGTATACATATATATATATATATATGTATATATATGTATACACATATTATAAGCCTAGACCCTAAACCCCAAATCTCGAAAACACAATGCTTCGACCCTATAAGGCTGTGATCCTCGTACCTCAATTGGGCCGGAGTTGTGGGTGGCCTCGGGCGCTGATGCTGCCTGGCTGGCCGAGGGTTTAGGGTTTAGGGTTTAGGGTTTAAGTTTAGGGTTTAGGGTTTAGGAGTTTAGGCCTTCGGTTTTTGGCTTTTGTTGGTACCACTCTATCCCCCTCTCGTGCCCGCACAAATATACAAGTTCAGACCCGCCGGCCTAAAACTGACAATCGAAACCGCCACCTCGCAGACAACCAAACCTTACTGAAAGTCTGGGCTGCACCGAAAACCCTGTACATTACCTTCACCCCAAACCTGCCTGCAGAAATGGGAAAGTCGTGTCGTCGAGTAGGTGACCTGTAACGATTTTCGGGCACTATAACTTTTTTATGGTGGGGAATTTAGTAGTATTAGTAGGGTAGGTAACCTTTAACCTTTCTGGGGTACAGAAAAGACCTTTGATCTAGCCCAAGGGTTACCGGCAACTTTTGACTCCCCACTGACTGCTCCTACAAGCCCTAGGCCCTAAACCGGGTGATCCCGATCTCTGGAGAGTGAAAGCACCTTACACAACGAAAAAGCATCCCAAGGCCCAAGCACTCACCCCAAGGGAAATTCCAAGTTTCCAGAAGCGACCTGAGCTGCTTCAGGTTCGTGTCGCTGCAGGTGCCTTGGAGGGTGACTGTTGGGCTTTGGCTCCAGGGTGGTTGCATGCGCCCTTCTGGTCAGATATAGACAGTACTGAAGAGTCATAAGGGTGCTAAACGAAATCATGATAGTAATCATGGCAAGAGTAAGAGTAATAGCAATAAAAGCAGTAAGAATCATAATCGACACGATCATATTGAAACAGTACTTCTAATGGTGTCACTCTAGTAGAACAAGGTTGTGTAAGGTTTGCAGGGAACCCTAAACCCTAAACCCTAACCCCAAACCCTAAACTCCTTAACCCCAAGCCCTAAACCCTAAACCCCCAAACCCTACACCCTAAACCCCTTAACGCTAAACCCCTAAACCCCTAAACCCCTAAACCCTAAACCCTAGGGCCAGG